AGACCCCGACGAGGTTCTTGCGGTCCGCCATCCACCGATACCGAAAGCGTATTTAAATTGCGTGAAAGTACACATAAGATCTCTCTGCATACGTGGAACACGAACGTTTCTAACACTGAACAGAAGTGAAAGGAATCGATCCAGTAGTCGATTCGCAATTCGCGAAAGTGATCCAAGACAAGTTGCTCATTTATTTATTTTGCAATTATTTATTTCATTATCGTGCAAATTCACGTTTGCGAAAATGGAGTTTGCAACCCTGAGAAGACTAGTTTGCCCATTTTCCCGAGGAAAAGAATTTGATATTTCGGATATATTATATGCTAGGTTAAGACTTAGGCTAGATTGATAGCCCCCTTGGTACGTTTGTAGTATTACTTTTAACGCTCTCGGAGATTATCGCGAAGAACTATGAAAATTTGTTTGAAATACTCGAATTGAATTCTTCCGCAGATGCGAATATGAAAGATATGAATATTCGATAGGGGCGATGGGATTCGATTATATTTGACATGCTTGGAATCATTGCGAAAAAATACGAGAGTGTATTTAAATCGCTCGAATATTTATATAAAGGAAATCGAATTTTTTTCCAGATGTGCAATATGAATATTCGATAGAAATGGCGGGTATTGGTTATTTCTAACGCGGTATGAAATCATCGTGGAAAAATTTCAGGATGTATTTAAATCATTTGAATGTAAATACGGTTAATATTATATAGATGGTAAAATTTGTGTTATGTACATGTTGGAAAATAAACCTGTATATACCTATATGAATACTATTGCAATTAATTAGCTTCTACTACATGAATAATATTTTAATAATAGTACTTTCTCTCCACGCACGCTCTCGGTGACTTATGGTTGACCATAAGACACGACTAATTGTCTAGTGTCTTAGGTAATGACACCACTCTCCCCACTCTTCCTAACTATGACAGCACGTAGTGCCATATATAATATAATTATATATAATTCAAAGGCTAAGATAAAATAATCGAAGATAAGGTGATTTAGGTATAAATTATAATACCATTTATCGTTTTTCTTATGGTAAATTTCTTTGGCTGCTAACATGTATTTACATTCGTATTTGTAGACAATTATATGCATATAATAGCTATATTACTGAAATTATATAATACATATAATTGTTTAATACGAATATAAGAAAATAAAAATATAAAATAATATAAAAATAAATAAAAATATATAAAAATTTAAGTATATACCTATAT